TGTGAGAGAAGCCTTTTATTCATGTCATGCCTCAGTTTTCTTATATATAAAATGGCAGCAATAATGCCTACTTTAAAGGTTTCTGTGAAAATTATATGAGATAATAATGTATATAAAGTGCCTAATACAGTACTTGCTACTTCTCTTCCTTTTTGTTCATTTCCAGCTTCAAAGCATACTGGATCACTAGAGGTTGAAACTTTTGCATATTGTTCTAGGCTAAAGCAAAGTTTTTTATAATTTCATCTTTTATTTGAAATTTCAACTTTAAACAATTTTAACTTTTGTTTTAGATCTAGAGGATACCCGTGCTATCCTCTAGATATCCTTGTTACATGGGAATATTGCTTGACGCTGAAGTTTAGGGTACGAATCCCATCACCCAGGCAATGAGCACAGTATCCTATAGGTACTTTTTCAACCCATGCCTCCCTCTTCCACCATGTAGCAGTCTTCAGTGTCTGTTGTTCCCATATTTATGTCCATGTGTGCTAAATGTTTAGCTCTCACTTATAAAAGAACATGAGATAATTGGTTTTCTATTCCTGTTTTTATTTTATTTTATTTTATTTTTTTGAGGCTACATCTCATTCTGTTGCCCAGGCTGGAGTACAGTGATACTATCACAGCTGGCCGCAGCCTCAACCTTCCCAGGCTCAGGTGATCCTCCCATCTCAGTCTTCCAAGTAGCTGGGACTACAGGCACGTGCCATCGTGCTTGGCTAATTGTTGAATTTTTAGTAGGGATAGGGCTTTGCCATGTTGCCCAGGCTGGTCTCAAACTCCTGGGCTCAAGCGATCTGCCTGCGTCAGCTTTCCAAAGTGCTAAGATTACAGGCATGAGCCTCTAGGCCTGGCCTGCTCCTGTGTTAATTCACTTAGGATTATGGCCTCCAGCTGCATCCATGTTGCTGCAAAGGACATAATTTCATTCTTTTTTATGGTCGCATAGTATGCCATGGTATATATGTACCACATTTTCTTTTTCCAATCTACTATTGGTAGGCACCTGGGTTGATATCATGTCTTTGCTATTTTTAATAGTACAGCAATGAACATACAAATGCATGTATCTTTTTGGTTAAATGCCTAATATACAGAATCTATAGGGAACTTAAATCAATAAGCAAAAAACAACCCCATTAAAAATGGGCAAAGGACATGAACAGACACTTCTCAAAAGAAGACATACAAGTGGACAATAAACATAGGAAAAAATCCTGAGCATCACTAATCAACAGAGAAATGCAACTCAAAATCACTATGAGGTACTATTTCACACCAGTCAGAATGGCTATTATTAAAAAGAGAAAAGAACAACAAATGCTAGCAAGGCTGTGGAGAAAAAGAAATACTTATACACTCTTTGTGGGAATGCAAATTAGTCCAGCCACTGTGGAGAGCAATCTGAAGCTTTTTCAAGTAACTTAAAACAGAGGTTGAACCTTTAATGGCATTGAGGCTTTGCCGGCTCACCAAGAAATAGATATAAAAAATTACTACTACCACTTCTTTGCAAAGACTCTCTCAAAGGCTTTGATCTCAGGGATGACTTTGAGTCCTTGCTATGGTTCTATGTATCGCTGAGAGAGGTGCTGCTTGTTAAGTGGAGAGTGCTGTAGGCAGCTGGTGAGATATGATGTGCCCTTAGTCTCCTTAATTGGCTTATTGGCATGGGAATTGCAGGCTTCAGGTTACTCCCTTTTCCCAAATAGAACTTGGAGGGCATGGAGAGCTCAGAGACACCATTCCATTACTAAAGCCATCTAACAGGCTCATTTGAGTGTTTGCTATCATCATAATTTTAGTTTAATCCAACCTGGGTAATAGTTCATTCCCTTGAAGCTCTGGACTGAGTATCAAATTTGGGCTCAGTTCGTACTCAGGTCAGTGCCAAATGCTCCGCTTCTGCCATATTTAGAGTTACTCTATGAAAAGTTTCATCACCAGCATTCTCTAAGCTACTTGATAAAATCTGATAGCCCACAACCAATTTCCACTGCAGAGGTCCCCTGGAAATAGGAACTTACTTGCTTCTGGTACAGAGAGGGCTGCCTGGATTTTAAGATTCTGGTATCTGCCCTTTTATGAATGGGAGCACTGAGATAGTCATGAGAGTTTTGGTTTTACAGGCTTTGGGATTTATAAACTAGATCAAGAAGTGGCTGTCCTACCAATATCAGATAGGAAACACCATTCAATGTGGTTGTGTACCAGTATTTGGCAGAAAAGAGAGTAAGATGAATTGTCTATCATCTGGGTTGGGTTTTTCTCCTTTAATTGTTTCAAACTATTTTCTTCCTTGGGGAAAATATGACAGCTGAGCTGCAGTCTTACAGAAGTGACACTGTGCATCCAATCTCAGAGCATTCTATATCTCTTATCTGACTCTACAGCCAGCTTACACATTTCACATAGAAACCAGGCTATCTTGCATCATTCACACAGGAGGTGTGGCAAAGCATTAAACTGAGCTTATGGAATTCATGGTCTGAATAGAAGACAGAACTATTACTACCTGCAAGTAAAAGAAAACATTAGTATGTAGATGATAAAGTCTAAACTCCATATCCTGACACCCAAGATCCTCGGCCACAAATTTGTGTTTGTTCCCTGACGTCCCAAGAGTTTAGAAGAGTGACTGGCACATAGTAAATGTTCAATATGCAGTCATTTAGTTGAGTTGAACCTGACCTTCCACCTTCATCATTTATCTTACTTCCTCTCTCCCTTTACATAATCTAAACTCTGACATACCAGTTTGTTTGTAATTCTCTAAAACTCCAAATTCTTAATCATTGTTATTCCCACTATCTGAAATTCTTTCCCTATCATTTTGTTGCTTATTGGTTTCAAATTTCTATTTCAAGACCATATTCAAATGTTAGCTCATAAAGTCTTCTCAATCATCTTATCGTTGACTTGCTTCCACTTCGAAGCTGCTCACCACTTTTCCCCACCTTTGCTGGAGTACCTGTCAGAGTCAGCCTTCTTTAACAGTTTCCATGTCCTTTCTACCAAATTGTGAGCTCCTTCAGAGCAAGAACCCATTTTATTTGTTTTGGTCCATTAATATGTAATCTAGTCAAGGCAAAGCAGAAATATTTGGTGACATAAAAATGAAATTAAATGTAGTCTTCTGTGCTGGAAATCCTTAGGCAATAGAATGGATGTAACCTGGACTCTGGCATCAAAAATGTATAAAATGGAGATAATAATAATAACTCTTAGGCTTGCCTGTGCTAAGTGACGTTATGCATGTACAGTCTTGGCAGAGTGCCTGACAAATAGTAAGAGCTCAATAATGTTGGCCATTAACTCTTTGTGTTAGTTCTTGTGAGCTTATATTCATCTCCCTGTCCAAAGTCAATAATACTATTATCAATAGAACCATTACACTATGCTTTATCATAAATATATAACTATTTTTTTAGCAGAAAGGTATCTTATACCCCTACCCCCATGGTAAAGATAAGGAAACTGAGGCCAAGTGAACCAAAGAAACTTTAAAGATCCCACTGCTGATCAGTAGCAGAGCCACAGGAGTATATGTGCTTTGTTCACTGTAGTAACGAATAATTCCTCAAAATTAACTGTTAAGTGGAGATGCCAGGACTGTAAAATATGCTTTTAAAATGTCTAATTTTGATATTAAGTTTTTATTAGAATAAAAGTGTATGCAATTTAGGCATTTTCTATATATGGTAAACAAATAAACCTATTGTAGTTGGTTTGCTTTTGTTAGACTTGGTGGTCTCTAAGCTGTACTACTAATCCACTCATTAAACATTCAAGTTAAAAGGGACTTTATAGCACTTCTAATTAAATGTGCATGTGCTGTGCCATAAAGATTAATGAAATTGGGGACCAGAATAGTCATGTGACTTGGCCAAAATCAAACATATTTAAGCCACCTTAGTTGTGAGGATGGTTAAAATAGTTAAGGGGTGTTACAGAATTGCCAGCTGTTTTGGCTGGGTTGAACCTAGTATGCTTTTGGGGAGATCTGACCGTTGGATCAGGATGGAGAAGACCTACATTCTAGTACATGTTAGTTTTCAATTTCTCTTGTTTCAATGTCCTTGTCCACAAAATAGACGTAAAAATACATGCTATGTCTACCTTATCAATGGGAATACAATATTAGGTAATGTGTAAAATATAAATTAAAAGTTATTTTATTATTATTGCTAGAGTGAGAATTGAACTTACTCTAAGCTAAACTCAACTTTCTGTGGGAACTTAGTGTTACAGTATGCATTTTATCAAAGTGAAATAGGTCAGAGATAGAAAGTAAAATGATGGTTAAAATCTCTTTTTAAAGGATTTTTTTGGGGGATGAAAATAGATATGTTGCTTTGGCCCTGTGAGTCGCAAAATGTTCTCCAGTGATTTGTAACTGGCTCAGCGCAGGTTACTTAAGTTTTCTTCTTTAGCTGCCTTGGTTATATGTAACATTTTATGCTCCTGATTTACTTAAACTTCTGTTAAAATATTATTCTGACAGTATCTGATAGCCAAGAAATTCTGCATCATTCATATGAGTTCCTAATAGTTATTTTTTGTGGACAGGAAGTCATAAATTGCCAAGAATAAATGAACTTGAAAATACAGAGGTGTTTTTTGATCTTTAAGGGACTGACTGATTATATTTCTAAATGGATGATTTAATTTGATTAAAATAACCAGCCGTGTGTTTCTTCATGACTTAGATAACTTGATTATACATCCTAATTAACAGTTAAAAATTTTGATCTGGTTAGCCAAAATGTTTTCTGTAACTATGATTTAGAAATGTATTTTACAAAAGATTAAATTTTATTTTTGCCTAGCCTGTTAATCTTGACTCTGAGGTTACTATTTTAAGGGTTTTATAGGGTTGCTTACCCCTAACTCTTCAAGAAGCTTTTTAAACAAAGCCTCTATAAAAGTAACAGTAACTTTATTTCAAGATTATAATATTTAAGAAACTATTAAGAATAGAAGATTGCATGTACATTCATGTTATTGCACATGTGTGCTGTTGCTTACATTCTTGATATAAAAGTCACTGGATCCTATTTTGTGAGAGAGTGAAAATTCAGAAGTTCAGGGTATTTCCAATTAAATAAATGTCTTTGAAAATCCTCTCCATGGACAAATACTGCCTATGCCTCCACAGACTTACCCATTTCCTTTCTATGAACCCTGGGTTCCCCAGGAGTGTTCTTGCCCTCTTGGATCTCTTTCTCTTCTGGACTCCTAAGAGACGTCTGGGACAGGAAAACTGTGTGGCAGTTATTTGTGTTGCTCTCTGATTATTTTTGAATGCTCCTAGTCTCCACTGTACTGTACTTGAAGAGGGGTCCCATTGTGTACTTCGTTATTTCCCAGAATCTAGCACAGAGCTGGGCACATAGTAAGCACTCAATAAACACATAATTAATCAACACTAACTGGGAAATTTCTTAAGGTCTTGGATTCTGTTTCTAATTATCTGCATGGTACTTCATCTAAGGCCATATGCTGATAGGTGCTTATTGATTGATTTGATTGAAGCTATAAACCCTTATAGAATACCCACTCAATTATTTAACTCCTATGGTAATGTGAATCTGAGCCCCCAGTCTTTTTCCTTATTTAAACTCGTCTTGTTCAAAGAATTTTAAATTTGATGTTTCTAATTGAGGTTACCTGGGTTAGCACTTGCACTGGGGAGGATTCTTACATACCGGTCATTAGAGGTGGAATCCTTAAGTTCATTCTTTCTCATTGCACATTGAGGACCTAGGCCCCCCTGCGGTTAAATGGCGTGTCTAAGGTTATTCATTAATTCATCTGATGTTACATTTTGAGTCCCTGTTTTGTTCCAGATGACATACTGAGTTAAGGGTAAAGTCTCTTATTTCATACTTCTCTAGCCGTAGTCCCAATTCCAATCTCAACCTCAATTTAGCTACCATTAAATATTTATCTCTTAGTGTAGTGATACCTTTCCTTCCCTTTCCCGCTTCCTAAACATACATTGGAGAAATCGTATGTCCAAAATTTCTGCTGGGTCCTACTTAAGGTGTATGTTTTCATTTTTTTTGTAATTGTGGTACTTTATGGTGGATTTCATAGCTCTTCACTTCCAAAGCTAGGACAATAATATATTTTAAAAATCTTGTTTTGAGGAATTTTTTGAAAAATGTACACTATTCATGATAAGTGAGGAGCTCTTAAAATATCCCGGAAACAAAATAGGATTTGGGAATCTATGTCTCAGGGGACATGAATTAGTGTGTTTGGCTGAATGTGTGATGATATAATGGCTCTGCCACTGAAAGGCGTATAGAATCAGACTAGGATATAGATTTGTCACTCAGCAACAGCTGTCATCTTAGATAAGTAGTTCTACTTTTCAGTGCTTGGAGAAGACCAAAAAATAGCTGCTGTTTAGTCCTAGGTATAAAATTATGTGCTTAGACATATAAAACCTAGTTATAAAACTTTATAGTTGTTTTTTGTTGGGGGGAGCAGAGGAGGAGGGAGAATAAAGTGACTACAGTAGTGATTATGGGTAAACTGAAGTTTTTGGTCAGAAACTTCCCCTTTATTTAGAAGTTTGGTTTGGTTCTTTAACAACCTGAATATCTTCACAAGTGACAGGTGAGGAATTGGGGAGATAGAGAGAAATGACATTTTTTCCCCTGTGGACACTTTATTCTCTGTGGGCTTTGACACAGCTGTTAGATATTCTTGCCAGAAATGCTGCCTGGGGTTGCAAGAGAAAAAAGTCAGTGACAAAAGGAAAGAAAAGTAAAGGAACCATGGAATGTATTTTTCACAGGGCTGCAAACCTGCTGCAGGTAAGTGAGGTTGGCAGCAACATGATTTGGCATTCTGTCCCGTTCTTTTTCCATCTTACTAGTGCCAAGGACTGATGCTCAAGAAGCTCTGACCCTTGACACCATTGAAAAGTCACTTGTCAGAGTCCAGCATTTGGTTCCAGCCTTTACTCATGTATATATTTAAATCCAAGGAAAGCAATCAGAATTCTAGATTTAAGGGTGGGTTAAAGAAATGGATTCTTAGGCTTGACTTGCAGCATCATTTGACCTAAGAAAATTATACTAGATAATCTGAATTTGAAAAATTTTAGGACATACAATTCTTGGCATTAAGCTCCTAAAGGTAAATATTTTAAATTCTAGAAAATCTTCCCTGGTAAATCTGGCTCTAGCCTTCTCCATCAGTCAACTTCCCCTGCCCCCCAGCCCCACTTGTCTTCAGGAGTACAGAAGACACAGGAAAGGACCATCTGGCCCAGCATGCCAACTTTTTATTTGGTTGCTCTCAATCCCGCCTTCCTGTTTGGATCACCCCTCCCCTCTGCCCATACTTCAGAAACCAATCAAGGTGTCTCCTGAACTCATTTATTCCCTTTGTTTCAACTGCCTTTTTGGGTAACTTTTTCCATATGCTTACATCCTTGACTCACAACAGAGGTTTTTTTCCCATCCAAAATGGCCTGATTAGACTCTTAGGAAAAACCATTTACTCAAATATATGACAAAGTACTTCTAAAGATCCCAAGCAGCTTTTCATTACTTTTGATGGCCATAGCTTATGTAAGTAGAGGAAAAATTTCTGTGTTTAAAATAGCTGACAGGCAGCGACGCTGAGTGGTATGGAATTGAAGAACATATTGTTAGCACTGAATCTTTACTCGCACAAATGAAGTAGTCTAATCTAGGTTTGGACCTATAATTTATAATTATTTTAGTTTAATTTGGCATTTATTTTGTTGACCCAGTTTGGCCTCATTCCCTTCAACATGGTGACATTAGTACTATTTATATTGCCTGTTGTGGACCAATTTTCTTCAGCTGTTGCTAAAACTTACTAAAATGCCAGATGTCATGTTGGAAACACGAAACCTGAAAGAAGGTCATAAATCACAAAAACAAACCATAAAAAATAATAAAATACCCTGAGTGCTGTGCTCTGGAGCTTCCCAGCTTTAAGTCTCCTTTTGTTTACCCCTCTCCCCACTTCACTGCGTTTCCCACCCCCATCTTTTAGGGCCAGGGGTGAGGGGAGCTCAGCAGTTTCTCACCTAAGGCTTGATTGTTTATTTTGCAGATTCTGAGCAGAGCACTGGTTCAGATTCTGAGGTACTCACTGAGCGGACTTCCTGCTCCTTCAGCACTCACACTGACCTGGCCTCTGGCGCTGCAGGCCCTGTGCCTGCTGCCATGTCTTCCATGGAGGAGATTCAGGTGGAGCTGCAATGTGCTGACCTCTGGAAGCGGTTCCATGATATTGGAACTGAAATGATCATCACCAAAGCAGGCAGGTAAGGACAAATTCCTTTGAGTGGCCAGATTCAAAGAATTTGCAGAAGTAGGAGCCATTACATTCTTCCATTCTTATTTATTTGTGATGGCATCAATAAAACCAAAGCAGCTTGCGCTCACTTTTCTGCATTTGGACATCTTGGTAAAGTGGTTCTGTTGTGTTTGCTGTGATTGTATTATGTTCCTCCAAGGGCCATTCAAATGTAAGTCATGTAAATCACAAACATTTTCCACCTACAAATGTATTTCAGCTAATACTGAAAGTCCATGGTATCTTAACAGCCAAAATATAAACAATTATGCTACTTTTGTGTTTTCAAAGCCAGTGTACATAATCTTACATGTCATGGGGAACAAAAATCCCATCTTACTGATTATGAGCTGTTTTCATGAACATAGCCATTTAAAGTAAAATAATATTTTGATTGGGTCCAGTTTATCTACAAGTATATGAGGAAACCTCCCAATACAATAAGATATTTCCAAAGCAAGTGTTTACTTCACCATTAAATACTTTCAAGAAGTTTGCTTCCCAAATAACAACTTGCATCTTCTAAAGTATTTAAAGAAACAATGCTTTTGTAATAATTTTTAAAAAAAGAATTGGCTTGATGCATGTTCTGAGCCCTGTTGATGGTCCATTGTGTTTTATCATTGACTTGAAATTATCACACAACTTTATTGGTGACCTATGGAATTTCTTGCAAAACTGTTTTTCTAGGATTACAAAGTTTTAAAAACACAGCTTCTCTTGATATAGACACTTTTAGTTAAGTGTGTTTACTCCTTTATTGGTGTGTTTCAGCTTTCCATAGTTAAGTATCTATTTTGTGCTGGACACTCAACACACATCTTTGAAACTTACAGGAATCCTGTGAGGTTGGACATAATCATCCCATATATGGATTAGGATGCAGAGGATGAAAGACATTAATTAGCTTGTCTGAGGCACATAGGTACTAAGAGGCAGTTCCAGAATTCTGCATAAACCTGTGTGGCTCTAAAACAGTGGTCTCAACTCTGAACTGTTAAGAAATGGTTGTAGTTCTTGCCCCTTGGATTCAAAATGAAACTGTTTAGATAAAATTAAATTTGGGCCAGGCATGGTGGCTCACGCCTGTGATCCCAGCACTTTGGGAGGCCAAGGCGGGTGGATCACCTAAGGTCAGGAGTTCGAGACCAGCCTGGCCAACATGGCAAAACCTCGTCTCTTTTAAAATTACAGAAATTACCTGGACGTGGTGATGGGTGCCTGTAATCCTAGCCACTTGGGAGGCTGAGGCAGGAGAATTGCTTGAAGCCAGGAGGCAGAGGTTGCAGTGAGCCGAGATCATGCCATTGCACTCCAGCCTGGGTGACAGAGCAAGACTCTGTCTCAAAAGTAAAAAAATAAATAAAATTTGGACTAAGCTTTTCAGCATATAGGAATAGTTCATTGAAATTAAGCAAAACAATTATGCTACTTTTGTGTTTTCAAAGCCAGTGTATATAATCTTACATGTCATGGGGAACAAAAATCCCATCTTGCTGATTATGAGCTGTTTTCATGAACATAGCCATTTAAAGTAAAATAATATTTTGATTGGGTCCAGTTTATCTACAAGTATATAAGGAAACCTCCCAATACAATAAGATATGACAAAAACATGAAGTTAAAATAAAGCTGAAATTTTGTTTATCTTCTTTCTCTTCTGGAACTCTCTTCCTTCTCTCAGTAGTGAATAAAACCATTAAAGGCTTCCTAGGGGGAGCAGCTGGGCTGGATAATTGTGTTCAATACCATCTCTTTTTTGTTGCTTGGGTCTCAGTGTACTTCTGTTCCACATTTTGGGGTGTAAAGTCTTGGAAGAAACAAAGTAACTCAAGGAAAATTTTTTTAAGGTTTTGGTAGAAGAGTTGGTTTGGAGAGAGGAGAAATATTATATATATATTTTTTTGTCTGTAAGATTTTCCAGTTTTCTTTTTGGGTTTTTACTTTATTACTCTTGGGTCTGTGCATTCCAGTCATGTTTGTTCCTGGCTTCACTCCTTTATTCCCTGTCCTTCAGTGAATTGAGTTCATTTGAGCATCTCTTTGACAACCCTCTTGTGACTCATTTTGTAATTTCTTCTGCAGTATTTTCATTTCCGTATCTCTGATTTCACAAATTCACCTTAATATCTGGATACTCTACATATTCCCCCAAGACAGACACATAGTTTGTTCTTTAGTAATAATTGAAATCATGTGTTTAAGTTTAGAAACTACATCAATGCATTCAGTTGTCTCAACTGTTGTTACTACATCTAATTCTTTTCAGGTAATTCTGAAACAACTCAGAATCATACAAATAAGGCTTTCTCTTCTGTGAATTTTCTTCATTCCTTCTCATTCCCCTGGTTGATTTCTTGCTTCTCACTCATTTTTCTTCCTCTACAGTATTGTCAGTATTATTTTCCATTTTAATTCCAAACTCCATCTTCTTAGTTATGTTAGTTATATATGGCTTTCTCTCCTTTTTCTCACTTAGATGATCTTAGTCAACATCTACCTCCTCCCACACCCCGAACTGTGATCCTATTGATTCAGAGCTACTGAAGTCTATAGAGCCCTTAGTCTTTGAGTGTACCAACCCAACCTGCATAATCAGCACCATGGACAGAGGTGCTTGCAAGGATTAATGGGTTTAGAAGACAAAAGAACTGTCCTAAATTTAGCCATAAAATTAAAACCAAACACATCTCTTTTTATAAAACATGAAAGATTAACTTTCCTTTAGAATGTTGTGACTTCACTTGATATTCTATGCTAAAGTGTGACAAAAAGAAAAAAAAGACTTGCAAAGATTTTAAGAAGAGAATTCAAAGGTAGTCACAGAATTTTAAAGCAGGGGGGGCACCATGGAGATTATCTAGTCGATTTCCTTTGTTTTATAGGTGATGGGGTTAAATGACTTATCCAAAGTCACATAGTTCATTCATTTTAGAAGCTGGATACTGGAAAGAGATGGGTAGCTTCTCCATTGAAGGTCATATAACTGTTCCAGACAAAACAGATACTGAATTTAAAAATCTAACATCTTTCTTTGTAAAGTTATGAAGAAAAGAAGTCTCTCTTTTTCATGTAATACAGCCTCTCTAGGTGACTGGGGGAAACCATATTTTCTTATCTCAGGTAATAAGTGAGAGGACTTTTGCCCTATCTCTGGCAAGATGCCCTCCAAACATTTACATATAGAGGGAAGCTATAAATCAGTGTTATTAAGAAGGGAATTACTTATCTGTATTTAAATGTATAGATTAAGGTTGCCAAATTTTTGGAATTAATTAATGCAAATTAAAGTGCCTAACCTATAGTGAATGTTAGATTTAGTCAATATGAGTATCCCCTCATCAAATTTCATTAGCCCACCATAAGACAAAAGTATGAGGCTTTTAAATAAAAATTGTGAGGGTAGGGGGAGAAATGATATTTTTAAAATGATACACCCATAGAAGCTTCTGAAGAGTAATAAGGTGAGAAAGATGAAATAGTTACATATTAATTTTGTAACTATATAACAATTAGCCACCATCTCTATTACAGGACTGTGATCCTTCTTGTGCTTTCCCTCAGATATGATTATGATGTCACTGACCTACTGCCAGGGGATATTAGCCTTTTGGGTTGCTTTTCCTGGATGAGTAGTGAGTGTGTAACTAGCACAGAGAGCCTCTCCTGTGACCAACCAGTACCTATTTGCAAGATGGCTGTCTGAGGTCAGGGTATGGTCTATGGCCATGAAATGGAGCAAAGCCAATTAGGCCATATGTGGATCAAGCCTGTGACCTTGACCTCATTAGCACTGTGCTCTGCCCAGCTTGACTAACTAGCCCCAGATGGTTAAGCTTAATGCAACATTTTGCATACAAGTAGCCTCGAGCACATTCAGGTCAATCCAAATTTTTGAACTGAGGACTTTTTATGTCCGGCTTGATACAAAAGAGCTTGAGCTTGATGTTTTTCTTCTTTCTTATGGTTAAAGAAGAATGGTGAACTTTATTCTAGACTTATTGAAACTCAATACCTCTTTTGGGCTGCTCTGTCTCCTCCTCTCTTCAATTATGAGAGAAGTTGTAAAGTGCTATATCCTGACCTCACTTGCTTTGGCAAGTTTAACAAGCCATTGTGGTAGAAACAAGGTATTGCCCAGAGGCCACGAGAATTCATTTGGTATTTGCTTCCAATTCCACAGGGTCCTTCTTCTGACACACACGTTGACAGCCTGAGAACTTGCAGAAAATTTTCTACAGTTTTACGCATTAAAAAATCTTGGTGGCTCTTTGTTTGGAGACTGGTCACACCTTCCTTTTTTCTTTTTTACTTGAGAGACTATTTTTAGAGTGGTCATTTTCAAATAAACTCAGTTGAAAATATTTTATGGCAACTTGCAATAAACTGAAAAGCTCTTTGGATTATAAGAAGAGTGTAAGTTGCTGTACTAACCTTTAAAAAGATTATAGCTATACCTGATGCAAATGATGAGTTGCTGGGTGCTGACGAGTTGATGGGTGTAGCACACCAACATGGCACAAGTATACACATGTAACAAACCTGCACGTTGTGCACATGTACCCTAGAACTTAAAGTATACAAAAAAAAGAAAAGATTATAGCTAATAGGAAATGTATGCCTGGCTACACACATCCACACACATGCCTATGTATACATATATATCACAACAAAGATTAACTAAAAATACAAAGCAGGGTTGAACCCTTGGAGAGTATGAATCATCAAATAGGTCAATTTAAGTTAAGAAGAGATACTAGTTCAGTAGTATAAGTCTCCAGTATATTTCGTAGTGATAATTTCCAAAGTGAAAAAAATTGTCCAACTTTGAGAATTAGAGGACATTAGAATTTGATGTGCTTAGAGTATCTAATAAGAATACATTGTTTAGGCCGGGCACATTGGCTCACACCTGCAATCTCAGCACTTTGGGAGGCCGAGGCGGGCAGATCACGAGGTCAGGAGTTTGAGACCAGCCTGACCAATATGGTGAAACCCCGTCTCTACTAAACATACACATACACACACACAAATTAGCTGAGCATGGTGGCTCATGCCTGTAGTCCCAGCTACTCGGGAAGCTAAGGCAGAAGAATCCCTTGAACCCGGGAGGTGGAGGTTGCAGTGAGCCAAGATTGTGCCACTGCACTCCAGCCTGGGTGACAGAGCGAGACTCCATATCAAAAAACAGCAACAACAACAACAACAACAAAAACAAAAAACATTGTTTTAGCTTTTACCCCTGCTACTTCTCCCATTCTGATTTCTGAGCTTTCTGTTTTATTCATCTATATAGGAGGATGTTTCCTGCCATGAGAGTGAAAATCACTGGCCTAGATCCACATCAGCAGTACTACATAGCAATGGACATTGTGCCTGTGGACAATAAGAGATACAGGTAACAATAACTGGGATGTGGAAATGTGGGTATCACCAGCATTCCAAGACAATTCTTGAAACTCCTTAGAGGAAATATTTTAACAATGTATACTGTACAGGGAACAAGGAATGGAGACTATGTCAATGGCCTGTGGCAGAGCACCAGGTGGAAAAAGTGTTAACTTTGACCTGGGATTCCCTGCTATGTCTCTGGATAGAATGGGACTGTATAGTGTCTCCCAAGGTAGCAAAAATCAAGTGGATCTTAAGTCTAAATTTAATTTAATTAATATTGGAAGTGATTAACATATTGAATAATTTGGTTTGTGAAATGCTAAATAAATTGGGGTGATTTATTTTGGAAAGAGGAAGGAGAGGTGGAACAATAAAGCATATTAAAATGTATATTTGATGGATTACCCCATAGATGATGGAGAGGAAGAACAGGAGAAATGGGTAAAATTTCAGGAAGAATATCTACTTAGGGAGAATTATTATTCATTGATATGGATTGTGAGTGAGATTGTTAAGTAATTTTCCCTCAAACTGATTAAAAGCCAATGTAATCTCCATGTCTCTTGGATGGCTTATACATAGTTCTTGCCAGAAAAAAAAGTTGTGGCTTATTTGTTCTCTTGAGGTCTCACTCAAATCAGTAAATCATTACTCATTTTTGAAATATCTAAAGTCTAAGAACTTGGCCCTAAACCCATGAATAGGGAGGCAAGTGTTGATGAAAAAGGCCAGGACTAGTATGGCAAGCAGGGAGAGAGCTGGCTGAGAGAGACACGGTCTGACTTTCAGCGCTTAGGAGAAAAGATGCTTCCAGCTTGTGTTAGGGAATCTTGGAAGTTGTGATTTGGACTGGGTGCCTCTATTTCTCAGGGTCCAGGTCCCATGTGGTCCTTTAGAACTGAGAAGCAGGAAGGTGCCAGATCCATGAAGATGTTTCTTCTGAACTACGAGAAAATTGGCAAAGTTGGGAAAACTGACTTCCTTTGCTACCAAACGTCTTGTTTGCAGTGACTTTTTGGGAAAATAGTGTAGAAGATGATGTTCAAAACAGGTTCATCAAAGACAATGTGAACTGCGAGTATTTGGTGGTGTTTCTGAAAAGGTTGCAGTGAGGCAAAGGCCCGTCGTAGAAATTCCTCAAAGTCCAGATTCTTAGCAAGGAAATGGTTAACCAGTGAGAGACTTGGAAGGGCTCTGCACATGGCTGCATTTTATAGGACAATATGGAAGATGTTTTTAATAAGGAACAAAATCCTGAACAAATGGCCAAGGGATTATATGGTTTGCATTTGAAAGGTGAAAGGTTGCAGTAAAATGCCTTTTCTATAGCTAGACATGTGAGTTCAGGATGCCTGTGTGCACACAGGGGTGCATGGCATGGAGAGAGGGAAGAAAGGAAGAGGGCTGTGAGAATGTTTTCCTTGTGAGGGCTGTAGATTTGATCATAAACCACAACACTTCTCTGCCCTCCCCACTCCATCTTTTTGTCCATTTCTATCTCTATTTCGTTTCCCTGCTTATCTGCCCTTCTCTTTTCCTCCTTTGATTCTCTGTTTCTTTCCCATTACTTCTCCATTCCTGTAATCTCTTTGTTTTTCTCTCCTTTCCCCTGTCTCCACTTGTTTCCTGGACCTCTGTCCCTTCTCTGCCTCTGTCTCTGAATTTTCCTCTCTTTCTCTTTATCTCAGATATGTGTATCATAGCTCCAAGTGGATGGTGGCTGGCAATGCTGATTCCCCTGTGCCCCCAAGAGTTTATATACACCCCGATTCTCTGGCTTCTGGAGACACCTGGATGAGACAGGTGGTCAGTTTTGACAAACTCAAACTCACCAACAATGAATTGGATGATCAAGGACATGTGAGTCAAAGAATCCTGTCTCCCCTTTCTTTCTCTCTTCCCCTGTTTGTTTTAGAGCTGGCTAGCCCCTGTCGTTTTCAAATTGGTAAAATAAGGAATCTCTGTGCCACTTTAAGTCATTTTAAGTAAGTAAGCATAAAAGTGTTTTTTTTTCCAGTTAAATTCCATTTATTACAAATCTAACATTTAGCAAACATCTGTTATACATCAAGTTGTGTTTACCAGACAAAGTCCTTGTGCTCCAGAGGCTTACAGTCTAGTAGAGGAGGCAAAACAGAAAAACAAGACAAATTAACCAGTGGTAAAAGAAATCACAACATTCAGTAGAATAACCCAAAGGCCATAAAACAAGAGAAACAAGTGAATGACAGTTTCAACTAATTTGTCAAGAATTTTTTTTTTATAGGGAAGACTAAATCTTAAGGTTTTCCAGGCATAACTGGAGCACGTGATGCTATTAATATATCTTTGGCAGTGAAACACATATTGAATTTTCACTGAATGGCAGGACCCATACTGGGTGCTATGGGAAGATTGAATAAGTTAAAACCATTGCTTCCATCTTCAAGGAAATAGCAATTTTCTGAAAGAGTGAAAACCCATATCTACCATTCACTCTCACATAACAAAATAATGTTCACATATTCAATAATGAATGCAAATAATAGAATGTAGAAATTTAAAGACAGCATGAATACATGCTGAAAATTTGAAGCTGGAGGGAATAACTAGTCACATGGCAGAGGTTCTGAGACCTTTTAGTGATATGTTGTCCATTGGTACTAGAGAAGTCATTCGGCATTATCCAACTGAAGCAAACATATTACTTTTACCATCCATGATAAGGATGTCCTGCTATTTGGTTCCATGTAATGCTATTTAATCGCTTAGTTCTTCCTGGCAAGTATACTGATTTCTAGTTTTCTGTACATCTCACCTCCAATCTGTGCTTTTCCTAGTGCTTCTACTTAGTGATGTATTTTGCATGAGAGCACAATGTGGGTTCCTTAAAGCCAAGCCTGGTACAAGTCCCCTTTTTATTTCAGATCATTCTGCACTCTATGCACAAATACCAGCCTCGAGTTCATGTGATTCGCAAAGACTTCAGCAGCGACCTTTCACCCACTAAGCCTGTTCCTGTTGGGGATGGAGTGAAAACGTTCAACTTTCCTGAGACTGTGTTCACCACAGTTACGGCCTATCAGAACCAGCAGGTAAGAGGTGGCACTTGAGAGTCTTCTGCTACATCTCTTTTTAAGGCAAGAAATGCTTAGTCCTGCATGGCACTGAAGAGTTAGTATGAGAGACAAGAGTTTTTCAGTACACACAAGGCATTGGTGATAACAATATGGTAGTGCCTAGTAACAGCTTACACAATCTAGGTTTAGATCAGAGACAAGATCTTGACTGAGAAGACCAAACCTATTAAATTATTTTTATGTCTCTCTGTACTTGCACCTGTGTTCATGATCTCTACTACATCCTGGCAAATAATCCTCATCGTTTGGAATTCCTTTGCAAGTACTGAGGTTTGAGTCATGCCTTCTCTCTTATACACAATTTTCTGTGTATCCTTCCACCAGGCTACATCAAAGTCATCAAGCTATTGTGGGTCTATTTAAGACTCACCACTTCCACTTACACTTTCAGATTAAATTTACTTCTGTGTGACCACCAGCCACATCGTAACATCTGTAAGTTTATATCTGTAATACATTCATTCATTCCATAAATATTTCTTGAGAACATACTATGTTCCAAGTTTAACAGAGAACTAGAGCTGATTAAGATGTATTTTTTGTTCAAGAAAAGAAGAATTTTTGTTGAATGAAAGACGTGTAAATACATAATGATCGGAAAATGAATTAACTCAATAACAGAGATGTAGGCAGAATGTTTCTTGGTTTGTGGAATAAGGTAAGTTTTCCTGGAAGAGTTGACACTTTTCTGATGTATACACACACACACACACACACACACACACACACACACTAGCCAGAAGAATGCAGGAGAAATATGTGTAGGAGAGGGGGAAGGAGAAGTCAAGTCTGGAATTACTGTGGGTATTCTAAACATGTTTTTTGTTTTTGTTTTTATATTTTTTTTTGGAGGAAGGTGGCTAGGTGGACTTACAAGTGGTCTCACTTTACACAACTCCCTAAAAGTTGCATAAGAATGCCATTTTTATTAATTGGATGATATTTAATTATTTGTCAAAATATGTAATTACAAAGACTCTGCAGTGAACCTTTCCAAAACAAAGACATTTTTTGTTTATCTTGCTTGAAACTGTGCTTACTTTTATTTGGGGCCTATGGAAGCAAAGTGAATGTGCACTGTTATACTCAATACCTTTTGTGTTGGATACTCTGCTTCGTGCTCTAACAGTGAAAGCAATATATAGAAAAGCATTCATTTACTAATTCTTTATCAAGTGATTATTATGTGCCAGGCAGCTGAAGGTGAATTATGTAAGTATTGACTCAGATAAAAAGGGTATTTCTATCTTTCATGGTCCTTCTGCATAAGATTCCTTAGGTATTATTTACTTTCAGAGGAATTTGACATACAACAACCTTTAGTCCACTAAATGTTAAGTACTATACAGTGTTAGACTTCTCAGCAGCTGTAAAGGGTTTCCAACTTCAGATTTTCCTAGTGAATGCTACATTTCATCAAAAATAGAAGAAGAGCTTTAGTTTGGTTTGGGTGCTATTTAAGAAACTATTAAACTGTCTCAAATTCCTTAGATAGTAAAAATGCAGAAGCCATGGAGGATCCATACAGAAAACTGTAATAATTAAGATTTTTCAAGCTCTGATACAAGATGGAGCATCAATATAGACATGGACTTTGGAGCAACCGGAACTTTGGGATTAGTTCTGGCTCAGAAGAAGGGGAGTAAGAGTCTGAGTTCTCTGCATAACTGATTAGACTTTTCTAAGAGTACTCCAGCCACCATTTAAAATAGTTAGTTTCTGATGAAGGCAGTGATGTGACAATAAATATTTCAACATCAGCATTTACTTTGTAGAACACTGAAGAACAAACATTCTACTGCCTTATTGAGATCAGTTATAGAGACCAGGAGAGCCAGTATTGTAACCCAAGTTGAAACTAGAAAGCTACAACTCACTTTGACAATGAAAGAGGACCAAGCATGGATTTCTGACAGCCTCTTCACATCCTTTACCTTCTTTCACAGATAGTGTTCTAGTACATGAGTACATTTTATCATAGAAATATTTTGTTTACATCTGGGCTGAAGTGGGAGCAGGATACCATGGTTAAGATCATGAAATTTGGCAGCAGATAAACTAGGTTTGATTTCTGATCCTTTCATTGACACTGTGTGGCATTAATTCCTTTCAACTTGCGTTTCCGGTCTTGAAAATGTGCCTGCCTCCTAGAGCTATGAGGACTACATAAGGGAACGTGTGTAAATTCACAGATACAAACCTGACATCTAATTAATAGTAGTCAGCCTACGTTGCTCTGTGGCTGGGTCTGAACAGGCATGAAAAGTGGGGCATAGAAGCAATTTTAAAGAATAAATTGCTTATTAAGGAAAAAGTGCATTGTTGGAAATTGGAGGAGCTGCAATGGCTCTCAAAGGAATTATAATCCATAGGTAACTACTTTGATCTCTCTGTCGTCATGTCATATTGTTGAATTCATGATGTGCTGACATTCAAAATAGATGAGTCATACTCAATTCTGCCCATTTGGGATCAAGATGACAGCTTTTGCCTGTTTAACAAGCCTCTAATCCCTGGATAAATCAACAAGCATGCTTATTTAACATTCCCTTTGGCTGTGCAGATATGATTTAATATAGTACAGTAACTTCTAGTAATACAAAATAACCTTGAGTCTTTCCCCCAGGGATCCTGAAGTTTGCATCCTGTAGGTCAGAGCTGTTACCTAACTATACTTTTCAGACTTGTTCTGAAGATGCCAGGTAGCATAAATTGTTCTGTTTTGTGAGCTATTTTCACCAATTACTGTGTTTTTGTTCTTCATAACCTTCTGGAATGAGAACAATCAATACGGCAAAATTATTTACTTCATCTATTTCTTTTTAAGGAAATGGTTAGTAGGCCTGTGAAACAGCAAAGAGAAAAAAATTTAGTGGTAGGTCCTTAGTGTTCTCAGGAACTTGGTTGGGGAAACACTGAAGAAAAGACAATAGAGGGAATGTAATGGAAATGGAACATTACCCTGACTTTCTAATGAAAAGCAGTGTCCTGCGTCACAGACAGCAATGAACTAGACATTCGGAGACCTGGGTTTCAGTCTTAAATTTTCTACTAGCTACACACGTTGCTCTGAGCAAGTTGTGTTTTTTTTTACAATCATCACACTTCAGTTTCTTCTCTTAGAAAATGAGGAATTGGCCTGTGCTTTACAAGGTCCCTGCTAGCTCAGGAATTCTAATTTATCCCTCTTTTTTTCTGCATGATTTTTAATGAGGATTGGGAGCAATTGTTCTCAAACCAATACAATCAACACGATTTTCAGCTACTGAAAATTATTACAATGTTCATGTCTGAAAATTGTTTTTATTCACCAGATAATCTATACCAATACATTTTTAATAAGTCTACACTTGAAAGGTATGAACATGGTATTTTGTAAATAAGATATTCCCCAATATACTGTTTATTTGTGACTCTTTTCAGTTCTCTTGCTGTTTTTATTTTTTGTTTGTTTGTTTTTTGGGATAGGGTCTCGCTCTGTCAACCCAGGCTGGAGTGCAGTGGTGTGAACATGGCTCACTGCAGCCCTGGCCTCCTGGCATCAAGCCGTCCTCCTGCGTCAGCTTTCTGTGTAGCTGGGACCACAGGCGGGTATCACCATGCACATCTAATTTTTTTGATTTTTTTTTTTTAGAGATGGGATCTCATTTTGTTGCCCAGGCTAGTCTTGAACTCCTGGGCTCAAGCGATTCTCCCACCTCGGCCTCCCAAAATGTTGGGATTACGAGTGTGAGCCTTCCGTTGTTAAACACCGTGTTCCTGCTAACTTTCATCTTGTCACCCAGGTTGAACACCTGGCTGTCACAACATCCAGTCTGCCACTAATATATTTTGCTTCTACTGATAGAATATTTTCTTCTTTCTAATCTAATTGATTTTGCCCTTGTTCTGTTCCTGCCTTGCCCCCGACCTTGGGTTCTTATGATAGCTTCCAGTTAGGTCACCTGGACTGCAAGCTTAATGTCTCACAAGACATCCTATACATCATTGTAAAGCACAGCGATAATTGCACCATTTCTATGCCAAAAATTGTCAATGACTCCTCAGTGCCTAGGGAGTCAAGTCCTGGACCCCGAGTCTTTCCGATAGTGTCCTCTGTAGCTAAAAACCAACTACATTTCTAGGCTCAATTTCTGTTATTCCTCCTCACACATCTACAAGAGAGTTGCAATGTGGTCAGATTTTTACTGTTGCCTGAACTTTGTTGCATCCTTGCCTTTGTATGTCCCTTTTTCTTTTCTGGGAATGCCCTTCACTTTCATTTTTATCTGTCTTGATTCCTTCTACTCTTCAAAAATTCAGTGAAAATACCATCCCCTACCACTTCCTTCCTTTTTTTCAGCTGCAAATGAGCTCTCCCCAGTTAGAACTGTTAGGGGGCTGCACTCTCTCATGACCTCATCACATTGTAACTTTGGCGTGCATCCCCACTCTTCCTCTTGATATTTTGAGCTTTTTAAGAACAAAAGTTGTACCTTTTACAAATAAAGAGTATGATGTAGAAAACCTGAAGTTGGGAGTTAGGAGACTTGAGTTCTAGACCCAACTCTGCAGTTGACAGATGGTACTACTTTTGACAAATCACTCTACCTTAGTATTCTCTTTTTTTTTTTTTTTTTGAGACGGGGATCTGCTGCGCCTGTGTCCACCAGGCTGGAGTGCAGTGGCGCGATCTCGGCTCACTGCAAGCTCCGCCTCCCAGGTTCACGCCATTCTCCCCTGCCTCAGCCTCCAAGTAGCTGGGACTACCAGGGCGGCCCGCCAACCCGGCTAGTTTTTTGTATTTTTAGTAGAGACGGGGTTTCACCATGTTAGCCAGGATGGTCTCGATCTCCTGACCTTGTGATCCACCCGCCTCGGCCTCCCAAAGTGCTGGGATTACAGGCTTGAGCCACCGCGCCCGGCCTCTACCTTAGTATTCTCATTTACAAATTGATGATTTGGTCTGAATCAGT